TTACAAGAATGTAAAATTAAAGTCATCAATTTCATATATAATTCTTTTATCAATATTTATATAAAAAATGAAAGGTATTAATAATATTAATTAAAATAATGTTTAAATCAAAAATGATAGAAAATGAAAAAACACTACAATGTGCTTTGAAACACTAACTGCCAATAGTTCAAGTCATTCTTAATCCTTAAATATCCAAAGAATAGAGACTCTTGTGCAATGAATGTTTGGATAGTGTAGACATTGAAGGCAAAGCTGTTGGCTTCAAAAAAATAATTCAAATGATGGAAGAATAATAAAATGAGAAAATAAACCTAATAGAAAGCATCATTATCTAGAACATTTAATAGATCGAATTATTTCAAAGTCTGATCAGCCAAATGAAATCAAATGTAATCTTATAATTAGAATAATTAAATACAATTCTTAAAGATTGGATAATAAATCTTTAGTCTATAGGATTGAAATATTCACAATACAGTTTTTATGAAGAATTAGAAATAATAATCAATAGCTGCAATAATATGAGATTCAATCCAACTTCATTCATCAAAGATATTAATAGAGAATACAATAATTGGAATTCTAAGGCTACTTCTAAATTGGAATCATACAATCAATTCCCAGAATATAGTAAATGCAAACAAATTATATCAGATCTTTAAATAGACATATCAAAATATCGATAATTTCAGAATCTTGATGATAATTCAATCAATAAGAAAATCGAATTGCAAAACCAAATTTAAATATAATAATCAATTTCATTATAAGAAGAAGATGTAAAATTAAATTTAATAGATTAATCTATTAAATAAGTTGATTATTGTGTAAGTATAGCTTTCAATTCTTTTGGAACAATTATGGTATCTACTGAGGAAAAAGTCATTAAAGTATGGAGTTTTAAAAATGGAAAAATGTAATTATTATAAAGTTTGGAATAACATAATGGTTGGGTTAATTGCTTAATTTATAGTAGAATATAGGATGCATTTCTATCATGTTCAAGTGATAAGACTATAAGAATATGGAAATTAAAAAAGGAAAATTAATGGATTAGCTCATAAATTTATTAATAACATACAGATAAGGTATGTTGTATGATTTTAAATTAAAATGAGGATCAATTATTCTCTGGAGGTAAGGATAATTCAATTAAAGTATGGTAATTAGATTTAAATAATGACAAAATGACTTATTTATATTCATTAAATTAACATAAGAAAGAAGTATTTGCATTAAGTTTAAACTAATCAGAGAACTTATTAGTATCATGTGGTAATGGTGAGAATGAAATAATAATTTGGAAAAGAGGAATATAAAATAAAATGGAATTTAAAAGCATTGTTAAATAATCTATTAATTGTTAAGGATGGAAAGTAAAGTTTCTGAAGGAGAATTAATTTATTTGGGTCAGTAAACGTAAAGATATTGATAAAATATTTGTATTTGAATTGAAAGATAGTGTTTTTCAAGAGAATTAGGAAAAGACGATTCAATTGAATTCAAATGATTAATCGGATATGGACTAATTCCCAATTATTTAAAATAAATAAAGGAATGAGATAATTGTCAGACATAAAAGCTACATTTATATCATTCGAGAAATGATGAATAGCAAATTTAAAATAGTAGAACAACTTAAATTTAATACGAACGATATTTTTGGTGCCATTACAAATAATGGATCATTTTTAGTTTGTTGGGATAAGGCTAATTAGGCTTATTCAACATATGAATTATTATATAAATGAAAATATTAATAATTAGATAATATTTTGTTAGCCTGTATTTAAAGATTCTAAAATGAAAAAGTTTCTTTAATCATGACTAAGATATTCCTGGGGATGTTGTAATCTTATCAATTTATATGATTTAATCAAACATTTTTATTTATTAAATTCCTTTTATAAATTTTTAAATATTGCTAGTCTTTATTTTTGAGTAAATAAGGTTTCAAAAAAATTAATTAATTGGCCCAAAAAGCAGATAATGTTAATTTTTTCTTCATCAATAAATCACTTAGAGTTTATCTGATATACATCAAAACTCATAAAGTTCAAAATTAAAATTTTAGCTAAATAAGAATATATATTAGAGCACTTGCATAGCTGTAATATGCAGGAATAAGCATGTAGAAAAACTTATCTCACTTATAGAGGTGGGGGTGGGTTTGAATATGCAAAAACTTGTCCAACAAATATATTTGCAGAGGATTTTACCTTGTATTGCATAGATTGTCATGCAAATTATGCTGCATGTTCAAAGATGTATGCGCTTTATCTGAAAAAAAACTTAGAATAGAGATGGAATCAAGATAAAGATGATAAAGCATCAAGGGAAATTGGAGATTTGAACTTTTAATAATGTAAAGAATATACAAAGTATAGGAGTTATTAAGATCAGTTCATCTTACAAATTAAAGCAAATCACCAAATATGATCCAAAATTTTGAGGAATAATATACCTCACATTAATAATTAAGTTAGGCAGAATTGTTTTCAAATATTTAAAGTTTAATTTTTTAAGATTAAAAAGAATAGGATTAATAAATCAAGTAATGATAACAAAAGACTTAGAAAATTAAAAACATATTACATAAAGATTTGAAAAATTTTAATTTCATAGTTAATTAGACATCGAAGAATCAATTAACATTCTACAGGATTAATCAAGTAATAAGAATATTTAAATATTAGATTTCAACTAAATCCAGGGCTTTACAACAAATTTATTATTAGTTCTTCATAATAAATTTATTGTTAGTTGGAATTATTTAATCAAACAATTAAATAATTTTAAAATAATCTTCCGAAAATTAATTTTATTAAAGACAAAATAAAAAAAATTCAAGATAATTAAAATTTTGATAACATATAAAACTAATTTCATGCTTATAGGAATGAATTCAATAAGGATTTTTAAAACTTTTAGAAATTTTTGGAATTAGATGAACTAGAAAATGAATTAGAAACTTTGAAAGATAAATTAACAAAACTAGATTATGAAAGATAAATTAACAAAACTAGATTAAATTAAATTAGAATAAGTAAGATAAAACAAATTAGAGCTAGAAAAAGTATTTATAATCAATTAATTATATCATTTTTAGATTCAATTATATAACAAATCATTGTAATTTTGAAATACTTATAAACATGGTTATTGTTAAATAAGTGAAGGTGGAAAAGTAGTCGCAGATGTTAGTAATAGTTATTGGTTTTATTGCCTTTGCGAATTAGCGATTCCAAAGACTGGCAAAATATAGTTTGCATTTTAAATGATCAGTGGATCAGAATTTCAAGTTGGAATAAGATTTAAAGAGATTATATAATAATTGTTATTAAACTGATTATGGGTATATAATTACATATTAATAGAACATATTTAGTAAATTATTATGGCGAAACTTATTCTCTCATAGTAAAGATCTATATGCGAAAGAATTATCATTCAAATTTATAGCTAATGACATAATAATAGTTGAAGTATGTATTGAACATAAATACATTAAATGAAGTGGATAGAATAATCCATAATTAACATTTATTGTAAATATAATATCTATCATTAGATGTTGAATATAGATACATCATAAGAATTATATTCATGTGTGGGTTTAAGTCGTTATTCTAAAATAAAGATATTGGATAAAATACCAGCTTCATTTTGAATAATATTAAACAATATATATATATAAATATTATCTTTATATTTTATAGGGAGGAAAATAAATTAGACTGAAGATATTGTCTGAAATTAATATGAGGAATTAACCAACTTATTCTTCTTTGTTCGTATTGTTTACTTTAAATCTAAAAGTTTCTTCATTCAGTATTTTTTGGTTTCTAATAACAAAAAAATACTTATCTCAAAATAATTTCCACTAACCAACTTTAGTTGGGCGAAAAGAAAAAAATATTCAGCACTTGATATTGCATGTATAAATTAGATTAATAAAGCCTGCTTAAAAAATATAAAATAATTATCATCTTTCATATACACAAGACTTATTTTTGTGCTAGAATTTAATCATTCTTCCAAATACAACTTAAATCTATGATACTTTTAATAAATTTTCAAATTACTGGTTTAAAAATAATTTATCTTAGTTCTTATCTCGATATTTAGATAATCAATATGGCCAATTTTTGTTGGTAAAAATGTAACGGTTTAATATTTGTCAATTATCAGAAAACAATTGTCTTCATAGTTCTTGTCATCAGGACTAATTAATGTAGATGATTTTGATGGTAAATGATGGGTTGAATGTATTCTAACACTATATTTCTATAATCCTTTAAGATTCTTATCATATTTATTAGGTTATGATTAATTTGATAATTTAATATTATGAAGCCAGAATTACTCAGACCCATTTGGATCAAGTAAATTAGGTGAACTAATTGAACATAATATATTCAATTAATATATTAAAAATTCATAGACTAAAGGCAGTCAAGGATATAAAACATTCATTCTTCAAACCTATTTTAATGTGCAAATCTTAACTTAATTTTATTTAAACAAGAAAAAATCAATAATAATTCTTTAATTTCATTTTAACCATAAACAAGAATAAAAAAATTGAAACAATAAGAATTTGCAAACAATTTAGTTATTTTGCTATAAATTATAGTTTTCAATTAATAAATGATATACTATGAAATATAGATATTAAAAAATTATAAGAATAAATTTGCTTTATTTATTTCTATAATATTTTGAATATTCAAAAGAAATTGCTTATCTAATTGAATTTTGTATTAATCTTCTATAATTATAAATAATTTTAATTGTATATCATTAGGTTTAAAAATTAAAATTAAAAAGTAATTATAAAACAAAATAATAAAATTAAAAAAATTTTAATTTTTATATTAAGAATTATAATTCCATAAATATTATAGAGACTTGATTATTCAAATAATATCAATTAAGATAGAAAAAAGAAAAAAATATCATGGTTTTATAGAGGATTTAAATTAATAGATATACTAATGAAATTTATGAAATTTTAGTATTTATTAAATGATGAATAAAAAGTGCTATACTATTTTTTATTATTTAAAAAAAGATTTAATAAAATTTAAAATGGAATCTCCATATAAATATGGAATGCTATTTGTTTATTTAGGATTAAAATTTTTAGATTTCTATTTTTCAAAAAAAATAAAAATTTTTAATAAATGAATTAGATAATTTAAGCACCTAAATAAATAGATTCCAAAAATATTTAGAAATATTGTCCAAAATGTAAAAGAATACCATAAATACCTAGTATATTAAAAACTACTGGATATATTTATTATTTAGAATGTTTACAATAAATGGTTATAAAGAATGAAATCACTAATAAAATTATTATTATTATAATACAATTAACACCATTTATGATACAAATGGTATTGTTGTTTTCGTAATAAAATTTAGTATTTTTAATTTTGTATTAATTTCATAGCATTAGCAGATATGACAATACATATCTAATAAAAATGATAATTAATTATAAATTAGCATAACCAAATCTTTTGATTAATCTTTCATTTATTAAGAAATAAATTGATTATCTTTAACTTAAGCAAAATAGTTATTAAGCTTCACTTAAGAAAGAACTAACAAATTTAAGTGTTTCTTAAAATGAACCATAAGATTTCATCATTTAAGTATATTCATCAAATTTAATTGGTTTAATGTAATAGGATGTGTCAAAAATCTTGATCCTATTTGAACCTCGATGATTTAGGTTTCTTTTTATTTCGATTCTATAATTATCCTCTTTATGAATTGGCCAATTGATTAACATAATTAGATCTATTTCTATCAAGAATTGTAATTAAATATCTAAATAATAGTAAATACTAGCATAATCTACAGCTGGATATAATTCTAAATCAAATCTAAATTATAATTATTGAAATCATAGATTGTACTGCAATTTCATAACTAAATATCATTAAAGGATTTTTATTTTTTAAAATATCTTGATCAATTTTATTACTATGATGAACAAGTATGGATAAATGAGAATAATTCTTATGAAAATCTCTACTTTTTCTAAATTAAAATTTTAATTATTTGATTTAATATTCATAAGTAACAGGTACTAAACAATCTGAATATTCTTTAAATACATTTTGATATAATTAATTAAAATTTTATAAAAACACTTTATTAAGAGTTCCAATAATAATATTAATCTATGGAGTTTAATGAAAATATAAGAATTAATCATATTTAAATAAATTTTATTCTAAATATACTCTAATTAAAATATTTTTAGGATAATCTTGAATTATAAAGTACATATTTTCTATTAAATATTAAAATAATTGCGTTCTACATTTAAATCTAATACTGCTTCAAGGATTATCAATCTAAGGTATTTTCATACTTATCATAGATTGAGATGTTTAAGAATAGTTGTACTTTAATAATTTGACATGTCTTTTCTCATAGTTCTTGCTTAAATAACAATATCCTATCTTTTTATAATAATTTCAATATGATTTGTAATTTATTTTTATGATTCAGTATTAAATGGTTACTATAGACATTATACAATTAAACTCCAAAAACCTTTAAGTAATTTAATTCTTGATGAAAGTGCATCTGCTATAGTTAATTATTTAGATTTCTTAATTTTGCCATTTAATTCAGTATCTAATGGATTCAATGAACTTGTTAATAATTCTTAAATAGTAGGCATTCTTTTATTTCTGAAATTAAAGTCAGATAGACTATAATTTTCTTTTTATTAATTTAAAGATTTGACTTCCTACATTATTTAAGGTATAAAATAAAACTTTTACAAATGGATTATCCCATTATTAATTATTAATATACTAATACAACATGTTAATTTCTAAATCACTAAATCAAATAGACCTTATAAATAATAATGTTAATATTTCTAACTTCTTCATTATTCAGTTGAGTTGTGATCCTAATTTTATCTAATTTGATTATAATAATTTTAATGGAGTATTATCTGCATAAGCTTAACCAAGTTTTACATCTATTTTTTTATCAAATAATATTCAGTAGCTGACATAGCTTCAAATAATGAAAATCCTTCTGCCAAAAAAATCTCTTCATTTTTAAGACTCTTAAGTTCTGCTGTTATATCTATTAATTAATTAAATTAATGTCTAAAAGTAAAGTGCAAATATGCTAAGATCAAGAATATCTATAATCCCAATCTAATTTTAAAATATTTAACTTCAATAATTGTATGAAACAAAAGAAGTAAATGTTATTTATATTAAAGAATACGAAAATTTTAAAATACATTCCAATAACATCAATAATTAAAATACTTCAAATGTCTAATTATTATGTTAATTAGAAACTTCAACTTATTCATAATCTATAGTATCTCAATCCAATATTAAAACTATGATTTCTAAAAAATAGAAAAAATGTTTTCATGATTAGACTTGTCATGTTCTTTAATAAAACAAGAATAAATAATAATAACAGTATAGGTATCATTATTTTGAGAATAGGATATATAGTAAATATTTCTTCCATTATCCCCAATTAAAGAAATTGAAGAATATGTATTATATTAAGTATTTATAAGAGTAAACTTAAATAAGTAAAATCAATGACTAAAAATATTGTTAAAAGAATTTGAAATTGATTGTATCTTAAAATTGAAAAGTAACACAAAATAAAAATTGAGTATTATATCCAATAAAGTTAGACCATGCCTAATTGAAGGTTTGATATTAAATGATAAAATATTGAAGAATCTATTTATAATTTACTTAGAATGTGTTGTTCATAAGAAAGAATTTAAGAAATATAAATAGAATTTGAAGATTTGTATGATTATGAATAATTTAAAACCTACAATTCTTTTTTTATTATTTATTTAATTAAAAATAATATTAATTTTTAAAGTAATAAACAAGATATCCTATTTTTGAGAATTCTAGGATATTTTTATATTGCATTGAATATATATATATAGTAAGAAAGGTTAAAGTCTATGCGTAACAAGAGTTTGAAGATCAGACTTGATTCCGCAGTTGGATTTAATTATCTCTCATCATTTGGTCAATCAGACCAGGGAAGGATAAAAGAAAATAAATATATATATACTTGTTTAAATATTTATTACAAATCTAAAATTTTATGGGTTATTAAAATAAATAATGAATTTTTAAATCCTTGAACTTTTATCACAATTACCATCTAAAAAATATATTAGAAAACTATTTGAATATGCTTATTTATTTAGAAAAAAGCTAAATTCATTTTAAGAATATATGGAAACATCTGTAAGTGCTTGATTGCCTTAAGATTTATAAGGACTGAAAAATAAACTCATATTCTTATTATAGGATTAGTAAAACTATTAGAGAGTGCATAATTATTATTAAGGAATGAATAAGCTATTTTATAATTATTTCCATCTACATTTGATTAATAATTAGCTTAATCATTAATAGATTCTATAATTTAGATCTCTGAATTTATGTAATATATTTTAAAACTCCAATTATAGTATGTGATAAAATTACAAATAGAGAAATATGTTAAGCACAGACTCTTTGATTGATATTGATTGGAGAGTAGATTAATAAATTTAGACACATAATTAATAAAAAGTATTTTTGTTTATAAATATAACAATAATAGGTTAATATGCCTGCCTTATTCCTATAATTAGAGACTTTGAATACTTTAAAAAATACAAAGGAGAATGTGACATTTTAGCTTAATTAAAATGAAGTTAATAATTTTCACAACAATTTGTTTAAAATTAAAGAATAATTATAAACTTTAGCATAGTGATATTATTTACATTAAATTAAAAAATAAAATGGCAGAAAAAGTCAAAATTCTTATGTTAGGTGTTAATGAAAAGTTTTCTGAAAATATATAGGCTACATTAGGAATAGAGTATAGATCGAAAATACTTATATAAGGAGACAATTAAGTCACTGTTTAAGTTTGGGATATAGCAGTCTTTAGTTTGTAGTGTTATTGATAAGAATTTATTTTAATAAGTTTTAACTTGGATTGAATATTTAAAAGAATAAATTTATTGTGAATAGATATCTATAGTTTTAGTAGCAAATAAATGTGATATTTCATAAAGAGAAGTAACTACTTTACAAGGATGACAATTGCATAAGTTAACAAATTTACACAGAATTAGTTTAATAAATACTTGTTAGAAGAAGATAAAATCAAAATACTTAAAATGGAGAAAAATTAAAAACAATATTATAATTGATGGAGATAAAACATTATCATAGAAACATTGTTGATAAAATTTAAATAAAAATTGATAAAAAAATTTATCATTCAAATTTAATCCTATATTATAGAATTATATTTTCATTAATTGTTTCTGTTCAATTTAATTTTTTAAATTAATAAAATAGAAATTTTATTA